TTGTAAATATATAGAAAAACATATTCATTGAATACAAAAAGGAGAGTCTTTTTCTACAGTTCGTGCGTTTCAATCAAAAATCGGAAGACCATAGGGGGTTAATCGAATTACCTCTCGTAACGTGCTCAAAACGATTTCGGTTCGGATGTTCTTCAATTCAAGCCCCACAACCGTCGGACCTCTAGTTCAGACACACCACCAATCGCCCGATGAACGGATGGGAGAACTTGCGAGTAATCACCAATAGAATTGTGCTAGCAATCTTGTGGCGACAATTCTCCGCATTCTCGATATTTCAGTCACGACGTCAGAAGAGAGAAAAACTATTTTTTTAACTCTCACGCACGCATATATCACTCTTACTTGCACTGTTTCTTTTCTGTATATCTCAGCAACTGTTGCTGATCCCATTCTATTTTGTGCGATCATCAACAGTTACTGATCGCATGGATATTCACCACACAATCAGCAACCGTCGCTGATCGTGTGTGCATATAGCACACGACCAGCAACGGTTGCTGGTCGGGGATGATGCCCATGGTCAGCAACAGTTGCTGACCGTGGGTGATGCACATGGTCAACTGCTGACCGTGTGCATGCATCACCATCATCATCATTTTCATTTTTTTTAAATTTTAAATTAAAACACACGATCAGCAAGGAGCTGATCGTGTGCTGCACACGGTCAACAAATGTTGACCGTGTACACTTTTAATTAATTTAATTTTATAAAATTAAGAGTGCAAGATCATTTGGCACATTAACATATGTCCACTTTAGGTTTGCTTGTGCATCATATGCACGCACGCTCATGATTGAAAGTAAAACGAAATTAAATCACATTTAATTTAATTACAATCTCACTAATTGATTGCTATAATTGCAAATATATTTGCAATATTGCATCCTCCGTACAACGTCATACTAAATTGGTTATGGTGTATGACATTCCTAGGTTCATCACTGATCTAGTAGTAGGACTTGCACTAATACATTAGTACTCCCAAGAGAATTGATTGTCCCGATCAACCTTTAGGTCATGCAAGCCATGATTGACATCTAGCAATATGTCATGGCTACCCAGACAGTGTGAATGTTTTAAGAACATAATGAACCTTTCAACTTTGGTTACAGTGTAATTCAATCCCTCTGCCTTATTATGTCCCGATCGAACAAAGACCACGGAATATTTGTCAAGTCACCAATTCGATCATATGTACAAATCTAATTGACATGCATTTTATATGAGACATGAACAGTTCATTCTCGGTTACAACCCCGGCCGAGGATTTTAATGCAATGTCAAGATTAGATTGCATAGGACATCATTATTGTACCTTTCGTATAACAAGGAGGCAGATTTCATTTTGTGTACACGTGTAACTTCGTATGTGAACGAACTATGGCCATCAAGTACAGAGACGGATCAACGAACTAGCAATATGTGCACCTGTGAACCATAGCCATCCAACACACAAGTCAACACCGTGCCTCAGGTCTAAGGATTATTTACACAAGACCAGAGTATGAACAATTAGGCATTGACCACGCTAAAAGGTTCCATGTTGCTAATCGATATATGTAAGTCACGTTTAGTGAACTTGTCTGGTACAAGCACCTGTGTTCTAACTCGGGTATCGCAATATCCAATGACTCGTGACTCGTCATTCCCTTAAGTATCAAATACTTATTGGTGAAGTTACGAACACACCGGTCTCAACAAGATCATTAATATCTACTCAATGATCCATCGATCGAGAACTATTTAAAAATTTAGTATAACTGTGAACCTGTCACATATATTCTTAACGTCTCAAGAATATGTCCAGTCACAACTGATCTTATGGAATCATTCATATATTTAAATAATTGGACAAATGAATGAATACGTCCTTGCCATTAAATAAATAATGTAATTGAAAATACAACTTAAATCCCTAACATGTAACTGTTAAATGGTAAATTTAGGGCATACATCTAATAGTCTCCCACTTGCACTAAATCTAATTTGTTTGGTATCTCAAACCCATCTTGTCAATGGGTCTTTCAAAAGAAGACTGAAGTAAGGCCTTAGTGAAGGGATCTACCACGTTTCCGCCGAGGCAATTTTCTGCAAGGCGATATCACCTCTCCCAACAATTTCTCTAATGAGATGGAAGTGTCTCTCAATGTGCTTGGACTTCTGGTGAGACCTTAGTTCCTTCGCTTGAGCTAATGCCCCATTGTTATCACAAAACAATGTTATTGGTTGTTCAATGGAAGGAACGACTCCAAGTTCATAAATGAACTTCTTCATCCAAGCAGCTTCCTTTACTGCTTCAGAAGCGGCTACATACTCTGCCTCAGTGGTGGAATCAGCAGTTATGCTCTGTTTGGAACTCTTCCAACTAACTGCGCCACCATTAAGTGTAAAGACAAACCCAGATGTAGACTTAAAATTATTAGGATCCGATTGAAAATCGGAATCAGTATAAGCTTCAACTTTAAACTCTCCTTCTTCATAAACCAAGAATAAATCCTTAGTCTTTCGCATTTACTTAAGGATATTCTTGACTGCCATCCAGTACTCTTTCCCTGGATTAGATTGATATCTGCTAGTAATGCTTACAGCATGTGCAATATCAGGTCTCGTACATAGCATAGCATACATTATGCTTCCAATAACAAATGCATGAGGTATCTTTGCCATCCGCTCTCTTTCTTCAGGAGTGTTGGGACACATCTCCTTGGAAAGATGGATTCCATGCCTAAAAGGCAATAATCCTCTTTTGGAACATTGCATGTTAAAACGTGTTAACACTTTGTCTATGTACGTAGACTGTGAGAGGCCAATCAATCGTCTTGATCTATCTCTATAGATCTTGATACCTAAAATACAGGTTGCCTCTCCTAAATCTTTCATGGAGAGTTTCTGTGACAAGAATAGTTTGATTGATGATATTATCGGTACATCGTTCCCGATCAAAAGTATATCATCGACGTACAAAACTAGAAATGCAATTGCACTTCCACCGACCTTCTTGTATACACAAGGTTCATCCGGGTTTCCGATGAAACCAAACGATTTGACTACTTCATCAAAATGGATGTTCCAACTTCTGGAGGCTTGTTTGAGTCCATAAATGGATCTCTTAAGCTTACACATCTTCCGACGTTCATTATTGGATTCAAAACCCCGTGGTTGTTCCATATAGATGTCCTCCTCAAGAAAACCGTTTAGAAAAGCCATTTTGACATCCATTTGGAATATCTCATAATCTAGGTGTGCAGCTATAGCCAACATAATCCAAATGGATTTTAGCATGGCTACAAGTGAGAAAGTTTCGTCATAATCGATTCCTTCTTTTTGATGATATCCTTTTGCCGCCAACCGTGCTTTGTAACTTCCAACTTGACCCTTAGCATTCATCTTCCTCTTGAAAATCCATTTACAGCCAATTGGTACAATACCATCACGTAGGTCAACTAAGGTCCAAACTTCGTTAGAATACATTGAATCCATTTCGGATTTCATGTCTTCTAGCCATTTACCAGAATCGATGTCCGACATCGCCTCCTCATAGGTGTTTGGATCACCAGGTTGATCACCATCATTCATAATGAATAATGGTTCAATATGTTCAACCAAGTGTCTATAACGAGCAGGTGGACGAGACGTTCTCGCACTCCTCCTAAGAGGTTATGTATCAGAAGCTCCCACTGAATCAGAGATCGGTGTTTGAACTTGGTTATTTGGTACTTCATTATTCTCTTCTTGTAAGACTATTTTCCGCCCAGCACCACCTTCCTGGACAAGCTGATTCTCCAAAAAAGAAGCATGTCTGCTGACCGAAATTCTTAGGTCAGAGTGAAAATAGAAATAGTATCCAAGAGACTCCTTTAGATATCCAATGAAGCGACCTTGTTCAAACCTAGCCTCCAATTTTTCCATTTTCAGCTTCTTGACGAAAGCTAGACAACCTTAAATCTTAATATGATTAAGACTTAGTTTCCTACTATGCCATATCTCATAAGGCGTAGTTGGAACAGATTTGGATGGTACTCTGTTAAGTACATATGCTGCTGTCTCGAGGGCATATCCCCAAAGAGATATAGGCAAATCGGTGTAACTCATCATAGATCGCACAATATCTAATAAAGTGTGATTTTTTTTTTCAGATACACCATTGTGTCGTGGAGTTTCAGGAGGTGTCCACTGTGATACAATGCCATTATCCTTAAGATAGTCCAGGAATTTAGTATTAAGGTATTCACCTCTTCGATCAGATCGAAGAGCCTTAATACATTTTCCTGTTTGTTTCTCAACTTTAGCCCCGAATTCCTTGGACTTTTCAAAAGATTTAGATTTATACTTCATTAAGTACAAATAACCATACCGTGACCGATCATCGGTGAATGTAATGAAGTAAGAATAACCACCTCTAGCATTTTCATTTATTGGTCCACATACATATGTATGTATCAATCCCAGTATATCAGTAGCTCGCGCACTATGTCCCATAAAGGGCACTTTGGTCATTTTTCCTAGAAGACATGCCTCACAAGCCAAGTATGGCTCAAATATTGATGGATCAATATACCCATCATTACTCAACTTGTTGATTCTATCTTCTCCAATATGACATAATCGAAGATGCCAAACATACTTTGGGTTTGAACTATCTCTAAGGCATTTATTAGTTATGGCATTTATATTATTATTTTGTTGTTTATTGGCATTGGTAATCGCATTACCGGACATTGTAATGGTATAAAGATTATTAGTTAATAAGCCAGAACCAACACTTCTCCTATTATGATAAATAGAACATACATCATCAGCAAAAGAAAATTCATAATTCTCTATACTCAAACGAGGCATAGAGATGATGTTCATAACAGCATTCTCATAATGCAAGCAATTTTTCAATACCAATACATGTCCAAAAGGCAAACATAAACGAAAAGTCTCTATAGCTAATGCAGCAACTCTTGCTTCATTTACAAATGTTAGGACAATTTCATTTCGCCCCAATATCCTGCTTATTTACAGATTCTGCAAAGACATACGAATATGTGAGGTTGCAGCAGAATCTAGAACCCATAAGTTGGATTCAACACTAACCATAAGATTAGTTTCAATAAGCATAGACACCATACCTTCGCAAGGTTGGTCCTTAGGCTTGACCTTCAAGCTCGCGAGGTACTTCCTGCAGTTCCTCCTCCAGTGCCCTTTAACACCACAGTAGTGACAATTCCCTTTTTCAACCTTGGGCTTTGATTGCACAGCATGTTTCATAGGCCTTTTCCATTTCTTTTTCTTCAAAACAGTCTTACTCTTTGAAGAAGAAGCCTTAGCCATAGACACCACATTGGGCCTCGTGTTGTGCATTTCCTTCTCATAAACTACCAACATGCTATGTAACTTAGCAAGAATTTTCTCCATTTTGTGCATATGAAAGTTTTGGACAAAACCAGAGAAGGAATCGGGCAAAGATTGGAGGATCAAATCCACAGCTAACTCATTATCCACAACAAGATTAAGCCTAGCCAACTCTTCTATGTGTCAGATCATTTTCAAAGTATGATCATTAACTGATGATCCCTCAGCCATCCTCATACGGTACAATGCCTTAGATATCTCATATCTAGAGGTTCGACCATTCTCATCAAAATATTCTTTTAAGTGCAAGATGATCGACCTAGCATCTTCCATAGTTTCATACTTCTTCTGCAATTCATTATTCATTGAAGCAAGCATGTATGTCCTAACTTTTAAGTCATCATCACACCATTTATCATAAGTGACATGCTCCTCTTGGGTCCCACCCTTAGGAAATGAGTCTAGTATCTTTTGATCAAGAACATACCCGATTTTCTCCGAATTGAGAACAATTCTCAAATTTCTCACCCAGTCAGTGAAATTGGGTCCAGCCAAATAATTCTTGTCAAGTATAGAAGCGAGTGGGTTTGTGGTCACCATTTTCAGAGTAATAATATATCTGTGTAGAAAATAAATTGTTAGACGTTGTCTTTCAAATTAACCATTTCATTTTGGCCTTTAAATGAAATAGTGCCTCCCACTAAATTTTTCGAATCCCATACTCCTTAAAATGGGAAAACGGTAATCTTTGTTAGGTAAAGATTACTAGTGGGGATTGGAGTCCCACTAGGCCATAGCCCACCTCACCTAACAATTATTGGTGTTCCATTAACGTAGTGAGTGAACCAACTTGTTCAACGCATCATATGCGAGTCTCAATCATAACTTTGGCCTTTAGACCATGAATGTCTCACCTGACAGTTATTGACATCATGATCATAGTTAAGTCTAGCCCATCATCTCATGCAAGTATTGAAAACACAAATGATCCCCTCACCTAACAGTTATTGGAAATTGTTTGGCTCCAACCCCACAACATCATATGCATAATGGAGTGATCCAATATTATAAATGGCAATTGACCCGTATGTATCCATAGCCGGTCAATCAACCACTATAATGTTGGACCAAACCACGACGATGGAAGGCCACGAGTCCGAAACCCGTTTCGACTTAATATAATTAATAAGGAGATTTGGGTCGTTATTAATGGTCTCACTTTGCACATTAACCGATTTAACATGCATAACAACTGAATAAATAAATAGATATCAAATGCATAAATATCTATCCTACGTGGTGATCATGGAATTATGGCTCAATGGGTCTCGAGCCAATAAGTCCCATTTAGCCATTTTAATGTTTTAATAATAGAGACTGCTCTTGACTTCTTCTTGGATCCTTGAATTCTTCACGGACCGGGCCCATAGAGCTCTCCGACTTAATGGCTCCTCCTCGTGTAATGTTTACATAAACAATTGATTATACTAAATTGTTGACACCTAAATTTTGCCTATTCATTTAGGGTTTAATTGCATGAAAAATTATGGATTGATTTCTAACCCCTAAACAAAAATATTTTCATTAAGTTGTGTGGCATGTAGACATTAGGCGCATTTGTATTAATAGATTTAGTGAAACATATTTTCGCTTTATTTTACTTTTTTTATTTTTATTTATATAAAATAATTATAAAAAAAAAGAGAGAGAGAAAACAAAGGGGAGCTCTTCCCCACGACTCTCCCTCTGACACTTACGAAAAAGAAGAAAAAGGGGGAAAGGACAAAAAAAGGGGAGCTGAACATTTCCTTCAAAAGAAGAGCGAAAGAAGACAAAAGAGTGGAAAGCCATTTGCTTTCTCTCAGAGAATGCACGTCTAGAAGGGGAGCTACGGAAAGAGCAAAAGGAAGGGAAAGGATTTCAAAGAGAAAAGGACAAAAAAAGGAGCCTTTTTCTTTCTTTACCTGACATGAAGGGCTCCCTCTCTCTTTGAATCGTGTAGTCCATTCACCAAAAGGGGACGTTCTGCACATACTAAGAAGGGAAGATGGAGGGTGAGCTCGGGAGAGACATCCAGAGAGAAAATCCGAGAGAGAGAAATTCAAGAGAGAGAGTGAGTTCGAGAGCATCGGAGAGTGAGATCCGAGGGACGAACGGTCTCCTGTCCGCGACCATCACGCCTCAACCGTGGCGGACGACGCTCCGACACATCCCGTTCCATGCGGTAGGTGACGAATCCGAGCCACTGTTGGGTTTTGTTTCTTGTGACCCGGGGCCGATTTCCCGAGGATTTCGGCTCGGAGGCGTGCGAGGCGATCGGACGTAGTCCGATTTGTCAAGTTCGCCACTGTTCGCCGCCGCCGAGCCGGATAGGGAGTGCCACAACCCCCTCCCCTGTTTTTCTTTCTTCCCCTGTTTCTGCCGTTTGGTCTTGTCTTGGGCTCACTGGCCGGAGCTCGCGCCCGTCTGGCTTGCGCGAGTTCCGGCCCGTGATACCACGTGCTTGATCCTGCTTGTTTATGTGTCTTTGTGTGTGAATTTCGGATGCGTTTGAGCCTCGATCGAACCTAAAATCCCTCGTTTTTGTCGATGCTCGCAATGTGTTTGTTAATATGCCTGAACCAACTCCTGAGTTTGGCTTTGTTTCGCTGCATTTTTGGGGACGACGGACGGTCCCGCGTGCCGCCTGCCGTCGCGGCGGTCCCAAATAGTGGCCACAAAAGGGAGCGAACGGCCTGGTCCCCTTGTTGGGATCCGCTAGTTCACAGCCCCCCAGCCCTCGTCGGGGCTTGGGCGCCTCGCTCGCCAGGTCACCACATCGGTGACCCGAATGGAAGACGCAGATCACCCCTCGGTGGAGTGGCGATGCGGGCCGAGGCGGTGGGTTGCGGCACTCCAGGTCGGCGAAGGCGAGTCGCGTCGGGTGTGGTGGCCGCGGACGCAGCGCGGGCTGTGGCCGAGCATGACCTCGGCCATGAAGGCCGAGGCTCGGAGCGGCCGGCGTTCGCGCCGCGGGGATGGTGCTAGTTGGCGACGCGGCTGCGAGTTGGGTCGGGAGCCGGGTCGCGGGAACTAGGATTTCCAGCGAGTCGGGTTGGCGGCCGCGAACCGGGTCGGGCGAGCGGGTTGAAACCGGGCAGGGTTTGGCTCTAGGGTTTTGTTCGAATGGGCCGAATTGATTGTGGGCCGGAGCTTTTAGAGTTTTGGGCTTTTATTTATTTAAAAATTTTTGGGCTGGGCCTTTTCTTTTGTTCTTAAAAAAAAATTTTGCCTTACCGGGCTCAACAAATGAGCCCGGTTCGGCGGTGGACACGGGCCGGCGCGCCCGGGTCAGTCCTGATCCGGGTCGGATGTGGAGATCCGACCCGGATCCGTTTTATATTATTTTAACATTATATTATTATTTTTATATATATAAAAAATTTAAAATAAAAAATTCGAAAAAATTTAAAATAAAAAAAATTGAAAATTTTTTTTTCGAAAATCAAAAATTGGAAATTGGGTTTTAAAATTGTTTTTCTCCCTTTTTGTGTGATTAGCTTATGTTTGATTGCACCTCGTTTGATTCACACGCCTTGAATTGCGCGTTTAATTTAATCTTGCATGTGGTCAACTATGCATGTTAGGTTTAGGTATTAATTTTTGCTTCCCTTAGCTTAGTTAGGAATGGAATTTTGAGACTCCCGATTAGTGTGAACACGTTAGGTGGTGAATTGAACAAGATTAGGTACCGAAAGGGCACTAATTAGTCAATTAGTGTAATCAAGTCCCCGTATCCTTTGAATCTCTGGTTCGTAGAAGTAAAGTATTTCTCCCGTGCTTTACTTGGATGTCTAATCAACCCACCAAAAATTGATTAGTGGCGACTCCTAGGTGAAATTGATTTCCATGTTAATAACTTTAACTTAAGTCGCGAATTGGTATGAGCTTGGGAGAGCTCGAGCTAGGTTTAACTTAGTAATCCATTAGCCAAACTACCTTAGGCGGCGGGGCCGGTTCGGGGAGGTCGCGACAGCTTGGCGACTCCGCTGGGGACTTGAGGACTTAGGCCTAGTATATCTTGATTGTTTGTTAACTAACGTGGTCTTATGGCAGCGCATCGTGAAGGCTATAATTAATAAGGAGATTTGGGTCGTTATTAATGGTCTCACTTTGCACATTAACCGATTTAACATGCATAACAACTGAATAAATAAATAGATATCAAATGCATAAATATCTATCCTACGTGGTGATCATGGAATTATGGCTCAATGGGTCTCGATCCAATAAGTCCCATTTAGCCATTTTAATGTTTTAATAATAGAGACTGCTCTTCACTTCTTCTTGGATCCTTGAATTCTTCACAGACCGGGCCCATAGAGCTCTCCGGCTTAATGGCTCCTCGTCGTGTAATGTTTACATAAACAATTGATTATACTAAATTATACTAAAAATGCATTACATAAAAATAAAAAGAAGGACGCAGCCTCCATTTAATAATTACAACCCAAAAATACTTGTAATCATCATAGATTCATCCATACATCAATCATATTGATTAGGGGTTTTTTCCACGATTACAACCCTTCCTTACAAGCCATAAATTCTAAATTTAAAACTTTGAAAGGCACAAATAAAATTCTGCACTGAATCAAATTCATGGCCAAGCAACGTAAGCCGTGTCAAAAAATCAAAGCCGGTGAAACAAATTTCATGTGCGTGATTCCAAGTGACGGTAGTGTTATTGCCTCTGGATTCATAGTCGTGAATCATTTTGCAGAAGAAAAAAGCAAAAAGAAAACAAGCTACGGATTTTTGATTCAAAATTGATTTAGTTCCGATTTTTGCTCAATTGATCAAATTTATCATATAAATTAATCAACTTCTATAGGTCACTTAAAAACAAGCAATTCTCTCAACAAATATAAATTGGCCATTGGATTGCAAAAATATATATGAACCAAAATCAATTAAACGCATGAGAACGCCTAATGATTGGCTCTGATACCATTGCTGGTTTTCTACTGAACATGCATAGTTAAAATTAAATATAAACGCAGCGAAAAAATATAACCATACATGTATCTCCAAAGGCGTTGTTCGTGCGTTTCAATCAAAAATAGGAAGACCATAGGGGGTTAATCGGATTACCTCTCGTAACGTGCTCAAAATGATTTCGGTTTGGATGTTCTTCAGTTCGAGCCCCACAACCGTCGGACCTCTAGTTCAGACATACCACCAATTGCATGACGAACGGAAGGGAGAACTTGCGGGTAATCACCAATAGAATTGTGCTAGCAATCTTGTGGCGACAATTCTCCGCACTCTCGATATTTCAATCATAACATCGGAAGAGAGAAAAACTATTTTTTTAACTCTCACGCACGCATATATCACTCTTACTTGCACTGTTTCTTTTCTGTATATCTCAGCAACTGTTGCTGATCCCATTCTATTTTGTGCGATCATCAACAAGCATCGATCGCAAGGATATTCACCACACAATCAGCAACCGTCGCCGATCGTGTGTGCATATAGGCACACGACCAAGCAACGGTTGCTGGTCGGGGATGATGCCCATGGTCAGCAACAGTTGCTGACCGTGGGTGATGCACATG